TTTTCCTTCCTGTCGTTCGTACAATTCAATCATAGCTTGTTTGATATGATGCCGAGCGTACGACATATCAATTGTTCTTACACATTCGCAATAAAAAAAACAGAAACAAAATGTGTAAAGATGATAAACATATTGTGCACTCAATATATCACAGTGTTCATCAAAACACCGGTTGTTATCGTGCACTGCGTATTATAATTCTGTCGACGTCGTTTTTCATCGCGTCTTTCCGTTTTCATACATTTTCTTCTTCTCGTTCTTCATAACAGAAGAATAAAAAGAAACAAATTTAAAACAAACGGAGCTTTTGAGGGTGGCTCCAAAATAATTGAACCTTCCCAGGGATATCCGACGTTCCGTTGGTGACCCGTGCAGGCGTGCAGATGGTAGGCCTTCGTAACATACATCTATGTATGTATGACTAGAAGCGTTCATCTCATCATCGTCTTTTCAAAGGCGTTGATCATGGACGTACTAGTCATATATACATAGGTGTATGTTTGTCTAACCATTGCCGGCTTTGTCCACTGTACGAGCCAATGGAATACGGAGGATATCCTGGTCGCGCGTGCGCGAAATTTGTTGTAGCTGCTTCACTTCGGTGGGCTTTCAAGAAAAGGGCAATTTATTTTCTCTTTTCAAAATAAAAAAAAATTCCATTTTCTTTTTCACATCTTCAGTGTTTCTTTTCACCAGGGCAATATGTGGATGTGTTAGAGGCAGTGATTTTTTCCCGATTTCTTGAGCTTTTTCGTAATATGTAAATGCTTTCGGGTACTCGCCCATGTTATCGTACACCAAACCGATGTTGTTGTAGGAAGAAGCCAAGTCGGGATGATTTGGAGGGAGAGCTATTTTCCGGATTTCAAGTGATCGTTCATACGATGAAAGTGCTTTCGAGTACTCGCCCATGTTATCATACACCAAACCGATGTTGTTGTAGGATTGTGCGAAGTCGGGATGATTTGGAGGGAGAGCTATTTTTCGGATTTCAAGTGATCGTTCATACAATGAAAGTGCTTTCGAGTACTCGCCTATGTTATTATACACCATACCGATGTTGTTGTAGGAAGCAGCCAAGTCGGGAAGATTTTGAGGGACAGTTTTTTCTTTTATATCGAGTGCTTGTTCGTAAAATGTTATCGCCTTGGAGTACTCTCCAAGGCCGTAATACACCCAACCAAGCATATGATTGCAGTCACCTCGAGCTTTATCAGAAGTTGCCGTCTCAATGAGTATCTGATAAAGATGTTCTGCTTTTGCAGGCTCACCTAGTTGAATAAGTATATGACCCAGTCGAGCCCATCCTTTTGCCCAATTAAGTTCCTCTCGCAGGTGTGCCGTGAGTTTGTTAAAGTCATCATCTTGATTGCCTGCGAGGGTGAGATTGACTTGCCATAGGCGATCCGTATGCTCGTCGGGAATTCGTTCGATCCGGTTGATGCGAAAAATTGTATGTGTTGAAAAAAGTATCTCTTCTTCTTTATCTTTGTAGTAGCCAACTTTGCTTACTTCAGCAAATGGTGTCGATGATTTCATGCAAATCGCCGTATCAATGTTCATAACAAAGAGTATGCCGACTGAATTGGGATTGTTTGTAGCTGGTCGTGCGAAATTGTCCAATGAGGTCGTGCGATTGCGACTGGTCGATAAGAAATTATTAAAGGACATAAGTCCTCCTTTGGTTTTTTTCATTTTTTCAAAGTCTTCCATGGACAAACCTTGTCCACGAAAGACTTGAAAATTTGTCGGCATGCTGCCTTGTTGTTCCTGATGTAATTGTGTAATATGGTTGTGCAGATGCCGGATGAAAAATCCCATTTTGAGAATAATGTCGACATCCATTTGTCGAAGTCCACGATTGAGCATTGGATACATAAATGTTTCAGCTGTATACCACCAAATGGGTGTATGCTTGCGATATTCAAGTTCGACTTGTTTGATTTGGTCTTCAGGAATATCGTCTTGTTCACAACAATAATCGGCCAAATCTTTGATGGATTTTTTATCATCATCTTCGATCTCCAAGAGTGCTTCTTTTAACAGTTGTGTATACATGAATAGAGGATCGAGACCATTAAAAGTGACTGAGATCATAGCTCGATCACAATTTTCACGATCGAGTTGCAAGGCCTTACAAATTGGTTTGATTTTGGTATACACACCCTTAACCTTGTATATTTTGTTGGCCCATTGTTCGTGTATCGCTTGGTTGCGACAGAATACATAAACTGACTCCAATTGTGGCCATCCTTCAATATCTGTTATTATTTGTCGTCCCAATGAACCAGATACGATCATGAATACCTTTTCATTTGTAATGGCACGGAGAAAATCAATGCATTCTTGAGCATCTTTAAATGTTTCGATGCTTGCTACAACACGTCGCAGACGTCGAAACGATTTCTTGAAATCGTCCTTGGATTCATCCAAATTGGCATCAAGCCATAGAAGCCGGAAATTTTGAAGAACCCGACGCATAGGTCGAGACCTCACAACAGCAGCACGATTGTTCGCGATGGTAATAGTGGTGGTGCTAGGCATCGCTGCTGCACCACTGATAACAGTTGTTATTGGCTTTTGTTTGCTCATTGTAGTTGAACAAATGAATAAAAATCAGTGAAACGTAGTTCTCCTATATTTATAATTGTTAAATTTTTTTTGATTAACATCATTCCTTGTCTGACTTGTGGTTACAGACTTCAAGGACCTCTACTACATCGATCGTTTTTGTTTCAAGAGTGTTACTGACAAAACGACGATAACAGATGGACGAAGTAACGAAGAATGGCTAAGTAAACAAATAGTCGCTGAAGATAGATGACATGACTAGTCCGAAATATCGAAAATACCTGTCTTAACTAGTTGTCCTGATAAGAAAAGTCCTGCAGCTACGTCTGAACTAGTCCAGAATGTCCTTGAACTTTGGCATGTCTAGCTTGTTTGTCTATCTAACCTGTCCAGATTAGTTCGTAGAACGGCAAAAGAGCATTTCTAAAAGTAAAAGTTGTGCCTTTCATTTCTGGTACTCGTGTTGAAATGTATGCATACAAACAGTTCCTCTGTTTAACGTGTTTTACAATAAGACTGTTTTATACATACAAGATTGTGCAACCAAGACAATCAATTGCATGTTCTGAGTATCATTAAGCGGAGCTATCTTAAAACTACTTTATAGCCATCAAAATAACACATGCTTATGTTCCGTCATTTTTTTTTTGTGTGTAGCTACTCTTTACTTTTAACTTTAATTTTCTAACTAGTCTAATAATGTTAGAAACTAAATATACTTCCGTGCTGTATAATATTGAAGTGTAGCAAATTTTGTTTTGTGTGCTTGCAATCGATTTTATTTTGTATTTATCATTGGCAAAATTACTTGGTTTTTTTCCACAAGCGTATATTTAGATGAATCAATCAAGCATGACTTTTTCATGACGCAGACGACTTTTTTTTATCCATGTGCTCGTCATCACATGCATTTCGCTTTTCATATATTCTGTCTCTTCTTTTTTCACCTTACCTTTGCGTTTCGTGTTGTTGCAATGATAAAATATACAGTGATATTTGCATATGCGTAAATTTGAGTTATGATGAGTCATTAG